ACTTTCAATACCAGGAAATCCGGACCCGACGCACCTTCTATGTTGCAAATCTGAGTGGATATGACATGATCCTCAGGACTTCCTGGCTGTACCAGCATAAGGTGACCATCGGTCTCAATCCTGCTCGCGTGTGCATTGGCAGCGCTGACTCCCTACCTTTAGAAGGAGTTGCAACTGCTAAAGTTTACACAAACTCGATGAAGGTTGAAGACAGTGCTTTGCAGACGGTTCGCGATGAGTTGTTGGAGTATGCGAAGCCTATCTGTAAAGTCGCCTCAGAAACATCTTTACCACCGCTGCGTGCAATAAATCATGAGATACCACTCATTGATGAGAATAAAATCTTGCCGTGGAGGCCGTCACGTTGCCCAGAGGCCTTGCGATCCCAGTGGGATGAAAAGCGCAAGACTTACTTGAGCACGGGTCGTTGGAAGATCACCAACTCCGGCAACACCGCACCGATGTTGTTGATTCCAAAGGCTAAGTCGAATCCCCCACGGCTTAGAGTTGTGGTGGACTTGCGCGCACGCAATGCGAACACGCGCAAAATGACCTCCCCGCTTCCAGACATGGAAGGGATATCGAGGCGTGTCTCGCGCTGTCCATATCGCTCGTTGATTGATGGGCAGGATGCGTACGAACAGATCAGGATTAAACCTGAGCATGTTGAACGCACAGCTGTAAGCACACCGGACGGCAATATGGTGAGCCTGGTATTGCAGCAAGGAGACTGCAATGCACCGGCAACATACCAGTCGTTGATGAACTACTTGTTCTCGGACTTCATTGGGGTCTTCATGGATGTCTACTTGGACGACATTATAGTTTACTCCAATACCCTGGAGGAACACATTGAGCATGTCAAGAAAATAATTGACGTGCTCAAACGTGAGACACTCTACCTGAGCGCAAATAAAATGCAGTTGCTTCAGCCAGAACTGAAGGTTCTGGGCCGAATCATTGATGATGGTGGTATCCGCATGGACCCTGACAAGGTTGATTCAGTTGTCAACTGGAAAACTCCAACGAACCGCGACTTACTTCGTGGTTTTCTCGGGTCGATCGGGTATCTGGCCGATGATTTGGCCAGCGTGCGTATTCCAATGGGAGTCCTTCACGGGCTCACCGGCGATACAGTACCTTTCCGCTGGAGCTATACGCACCAGCGTGCATTCGAAGATTGTAAACGAATTGCCCAGGAGGGCCGGGATCATCGCCGCAAACCTTTAAAATATGGTGACAGCGCACCTCGGATATGGCTCATCACCGACGGATGCAGCACCGGAATTGCTGGTGTGGTGTGCCAAGGCGAAGACTGGAAAGTTGCAAAAGTTGCAGCTTTCTTTTCAGCCAAATTGAGCTCCGCGCAGCAGAACTACCCTGTTCACGAGATTGAAATGCTCGCAGGTGTTGAAGCAATGCTTCGCCATCGTGATATTCTGCAAGGATGTCATTTCACATGGATAACAGACCACAAGGGACTTATTCATCTTGTGAACCAAAAGAATCTCTCCGGGCGACAGGCCCGCTGGATTGAAAAAATCTCTAGTTTTGATTTTGAGATTCAGTATGTTGCGGGCACAGAAAATGTACTCGCAGATGCACTGTCATGGATCTACTCTAATGAGGCGCCAGGCACCGTGCGCGCTCGTTCCGAATACACCTACCACGATGTCATCGATATGGATGTGCTCAATCTGGGTGCAATCTCGATGCCGGTCTTTGCCGGCGGTGAAGCTGCCGCACTTGGAACGGACCGGGTGACAAGATCAATGACGCGGGAATTACAGCGTTCCCGCCCCCCGGCCATCAAGGCGGATGTTCCGGAGGGCGAGAACTCTGGTCGTTATGCCTTGAGACCCCGTAACAAGGCAAAGGAGGGCGGGGATACAGGAAAAACTGACCAAAAACTCCGGTCAAGCCCCAACTCTAAACCTTCCAGAGCCCAGGGGAAGGCTATTGCTGTTAGTACAGAGCCTATCACTGCAACTGGCAGTCCCAAAGCCACGTCTGCCAGTGCGAAGGCAGAGGACACGAAGATAGCGGACACCAACGGCAGATCCGATGTCATTGTTGGCGGCGTGGCCAAAGTCGTGGCCAAAGATGATGTCATCAAAAACAGTGTTCCGGATCCCGAAGCCGGCTCGGAATTACCCGAGAAGCCATCAGCTGCTGAGTACGACATTGAAAGCATTGATAACTTGCTGCTTGAGGTTGTCAACAGTGGCTGGAGAGGTCTGGATATCATATCCCTGGTAGCCCACCAGTATGGGAGTGACCCCTTCTTCAGGAGTATTCTTGAGACGCCGAAGGCGTTCCGTAATTTTGAGATCGAAAACGGACTGATATACCTGAAGGAGGAAGATATCCGATTACTGTGTATTCCTGCCATCACGCACAAAGGCCGAAATCTTCGGGAGATCATAATCTCAGAGGCTCACTCGATCTTGGCGCACCTTGGTGTCCGAAAGACTCTGGACTATCTGCGAGACCATGTGTGGTGGAAGCAGATGGTTGAGGACACCCGGAGCTTCTGCGAAACTTGCACTACCTGTCGTCGCAGCAAATCGAGCACACAGAAGCCTTATGGCCTCTTGCACTCACTGAATCCTCCCTCAAAACCGTGGGAAACTCTTGGCATGGACTTTGTGGGTCCGCTCCCAGAATCCAAGAACTGTGACGGGATCTTCAATTCAATCACCGTCATTATTGATCTGTTGACCGGCATGGTGCACCTAGTCCCAAGCCGTATAAACTATACAGCGCGTCAACTTGCTGAACTGATGTTCGAAAACATCTACAAGCTGCACGGGCTTCCTAAAGCGATTGTGAGCGACCGGGATGTCTTGTTCACGAGCACGTTCTGGAAACGGCTGCATGAGCTGATCGGCACTAAGCTAAATATGTCTAGTGCCTATCATCCGGAGTCCGATGGCGGAACAGAGCGGGCTAACCGCACGGTAACGCAAATGCTCCGCCAATGCATCCATCCTTCTCAAAAGGATTGGGTGGCAAAGCTCCCTGCAATTGAATTTGCCATGAACTCAGCGCGATCAGAAACAACGGGCTATTCACCATTCTTCCTGAATACCGGGCACATGCCCCGATCATTGATATGGAACCCTGACAGAACACGGGAATATCCCGGCGTTGCAAACTTTGCACTACAACGCCGACTTGCAATCATGTCAGCCCATGATAGCATGATTGCCGCACGTGTTAAGCAGACTCGAGCTGCAAATCGCAAACGCCAGGCTGCACCGTTTGAGGAGGGTGATTTAATCTACCTCTCAACGAAGAATATCAAGTTCGAGAAAGGACTTGCCCGAAAGCTCATCCCAAAGTACATTGGACCTTACCAAGTACTAAGGGACTTCGGCAATGGCTCATTCCAATTGGAGCTTCCTCCGAGTTTGAAACAACGCGGAGTACATGACGTGTTTCATGCTTCGTTGCTACGAATCCATGTCCCGAACGATGATCGTCGGTTCCCCGGGCGGTTGGATTCTCAACTCGGAATTACAGCAGACTACGAAGATAATGAGTGGCCTGCAGAGAAAATAACCAGTCACCATGGCAGGCGAACCTCTGCAATTTTCGAAGTCCTGTGGGCAAGCGGAGACCGTACCTGGATGCCATATGATCAAGCGGCCTGGTTATCCTGCTTCAGTGATTATCTGGACGCCATAGGCGTGTCGGATATCAAGGAACTGCCCTACGGCCCGGGACAGCCTCCCGCGCACGATGCCGAATTATTTGTCGGAGCTATCCAGATGGAGTATGCGGACAATATAATGTCTTGCGATGGGCTGGAATCGCCCCCCATCTCTCTCTCAGAAATGAACGACCTCGCTGAGTACACCACTCCCGTCACTGGCCGTGAATTTTTCACCGGGCCTATCCCCGATCCTCAGGATTGGGACTCCAAGTTCAACACTTGGAACGCCAAGCACCACGCCATTAAACGCGTGAGCGACGAAGTCTTTGCACTCGTCGGACAGGGCCAGGAAACTGGAACCTATGTCAGCGTCTCTGCTAAGCAGGTCGCGCTCTTTGTCGCCCACAACGAGGACTTGTGGTACAACCTCGACAAGAAGGTTCATGGCACTGCCCCTCTGGGGTATTCTTCGTTCGCCATGCATCTTATCTCGTTCGATTCGTCGGCTGACGTCTGGGCCTACTTCGATGACCAGACAAAGTCCTATGTCTATCCGACTAGCGGCGATGGTGCGCGCCTCGACATCCCCAGTTGGAGCACATGGTCCGTCCATCCTCAGCAGATCGGCGAGTACCGCATCCCCGGAGGCATGGCCCTCGTCTCGCAGGAGAATAAGGACGCCATGGACCGCCAGATAGAGCGCAACTGGGTTCGGCAGCAGCAGGCGCAGCGCAGGCGCGAGTTCAAGCGCCAGGCCCACGCCGATGGCTCGATCTCGAAGCCGAAGCCTCGCAGGGAGGTACAAGCTGCCATCCTAGCAAGGACCCGGGAGGCGCGGGGCGGGGACCCTGCTGCTGGTGGTGAGCGCCGCACGACCCGCCAACACCTTCCCAACCACGCTGCAGCGCACCAGGAGCAGGTTCCGACCACTGGACACAACACCACCACCCCCGCTTCGACGTCGGCGCTGACTCCAGCCCCGACCACCATCACCGCTCCCGTCCAATTCGCATCGAACCATATTCCCCCTATCACCACTATCGACCTGTTGAAGGTCCTTCTGGGAGTTCCCTTCACACCGTTCGGCTGGATAGCTCAGTGGCTAACCTTCGGGTTAGAGCATCTCACATGGCATGAGAAGGTCCTGGGTTCAATTCCCAGTCCAACCATCTTTTGTGCTGCAACGGGTTATGGGCCCCGGTGTTTCCGGAATATTCCCTGATGGCATCATTTAGATGCCATCGCATGCACAAATAGATTGGTGCCGCCCTTTGTGTGTTCCCGCTGTTTGGGAACCGGGGGAGTGTTGAAGGTCCTTCTGGGAGTTCCCTTCACACCGTTCGGCTGGATAGCTCAGTGGTTAACCTTCGGGTTAGAGCATCTCACATGGCATGAGGAAGGTCCTGGGTTCAATTCCCAGTCCAACCATCTTTTGTGCTGCAACACGACCCTGCCCAACTCGCCTCGACGTCGTCCGCTACGCCACCCAGCCATCCGAACATTGCTGGGATGACCGATGACGAATTACTCAATTATTTCGAGGGCGCGGCGTCGCATGCACAGCGCGAAGAAGACACCCACATGGGTTGAGGTCGCCCCATGCGGCGACCTGGAGGGCGTATGTAACGGCCGCACCGTTCGATCTCTGTGCTCCGGCACCCACACTCATTTCTATACCATTTTTATCTCACTCTGCGACTGCAGACGCCGACACTCATTTACCTATGTTTCATCTCAACATTTGAACCATCTTTACGATCACTCTAAAACAGAACCAAACCTTTGATACAGTATATAAGGCTGTAGCGTAGATCAGATACCTCGGTTAATCCTACACTTACGCCAGTCTATCGTCGGATTCGCCACCCCACTCTCCTGTGTGCCGGACTAGCTTCAAGCTCTCCGTCACATGTACATGCGATGTTCTTTGTCAACTACTAGCTGCGAGGCTGGTCCTAGCGACTTTCTATACAACCTCCCCTCTTTCAAAAAGAAGTGTGAGGCCCACCTCATCCAAGTTCTCATATTCTTCTCTGATATTCCTCTAGGCCTGATCAGAGTATTCTCCAACCATTCCTTGAGTACTATCAGTCGCTCGTCCTGGTTCTTCGCGCTGTCCGTCCTGTGGGTTTCCACATAGGGCTCGCGTTTCTCAGGATTCCACTTCAACTCTGTTAAAACAGGCAAGCACAGTGGTCTGAAGTCAACAGTGAGAAACTCTGTTATTGAGCAATGTGCTGGAAGAACTAACCTGAAGTCAACAGTGAGAAACTGAGGACTCCAGTCTAAGCTAGGCTACTTATATATACAGTAGATAGATAGATGAGTAAGCATGAGTAACTGATCAGTAAGCATGAATAAGCATGAGTAAGTGGATGAATCAGCATGAGTAAGTGGATCAGTAAGCAGGCTAACTAAATGGAGAATGCTCAATAAGCATATCAGTCAGCATGACTGATGAATGTAAGTATGATGACTACAACTATGTAAGAGAGAATGACACAGTCCAAACCCATGCTCCAACAAACTCCAAGTCTGGAATCAAAGGTTCCGTCGACTGCACATACTGCGGGACTACTTCTCCAGCGACCTCATAAGCTGCATTCCGGTGCGCACAGATCAGAGACTCTGTTAAATATGCATCCTGGGTTTCCTGCCAAAACTGGTTGACATCAATTGCCAGCTTTTCGGTTTGAATGTAACCGCCCCTCGTATCAATCGTGTGCTTAAAGTCCTCGAAGTCCAATGGCTGAGGCCCGGTTTCATCAACGTCCTCGTGGTCCAAAGGCGGCTCGTTTATATCCCAGCCTTCCTCCGAGTTCGGAAATACCTTGTCTCCCGGGTGAGGATCTCTACGAGAGAGTCCGTCCGGAGCGAAAGTAGCTCCTGGCACATGTTTCAACTTAAAGTGGAACATCAAGATCTTTTCAATCCATCTGTTTATAGTAGCATTAGGACCCATTCCTGGGTTCTTCAGCATCCCCTTTATGTACAATGCGTCGGTTTCGACTACTAGCTTCCTAACACCAAAGATCCAATAGTACATGGCTTCTAGTGCTCTCATCAAGCCAAACAACTCCCGTTTGGTTGAGAGTAGTTCGATTCCCTCTCGTTCAAGGTGATGGACGCGAAACGGGCGTAGTACTTTTTGGTAGGGTCGTCTGGATCTACCTGATAGATAATAATCCCGACTGCCCTCCAAGAAGTGTCCACTTGGATGCAGACATCTGAGTCCCAAGCATAATTGATTGGTCTCAGTGCTGGACAATCCTTCAACGCCTCTCGCACATCCGCCTGAGCTTTGTCCTGTGCATCTCCCCACACGAACGGTACATCTTTCCTGGTGAGGTCGTTTATAGGTTCTAAGATTTTCGCATAGTTCTTTATAAACGAACGCAGCACCCCAACTGTTCCTAAGTAGGACTTCACTTGCGAAAAATTCGCCAGCTTCCCCCAGTTGTTGATGACTTTAATGCGATCGGGGTCCGCAATTCTTCCTTCATATGTGCAAATATGACCCACTACAGCGAAGGTCCCTTTGCACAATATGGCCTTTTTAACAGAGAAAGTTCCCCCTGCATAGATCATACGACTGACAACTCTGTTCAAGTTCTGAAAGTGCTCCCAGACGAATCGTCTAATGCCAGGGTTCCCCGCAATCCTCTCGTAATCTCCGTCCGGCGTCTCATACCTCGTCTCAGGTCCTCGGACTGGACAGTCATCGATGTACCGCCAACACACATGCGGTATTTCGTCCTGAAGGATGTATGTAACATCGTCATGGAATATAGGTACCGAGTTCGTCCACCCCATTGGTAGTTTTACCAGGCGCAGAGCGCCATAAGGAGTCTGGAACGTAGTGCAGTCTCTCGAGGTCTCTGCAAGATCTCGGTTGTCGTACCCAACGAACATGTCTAGTGCTGCCCCACAAGACCTGCCTGCAAAGTGCTCGGCAAGTGCTTCTGTTGCGGGCGTCACGCCAGAGTGTTGAATCGTAACTTCATTCAAACACTCTAACGCGTGCACGATCCGCAGCGACTTCCCATCCTTCTTGATCACCGCAAAAATCGGCGACCTGTAGGACGAGTTCGAGGACTCATATACACCAGCATCCAACTTCGTCTTAATGTTCTTACAGAACTCGTCGAAATGCCCCGGAGGAATTGGGATCTGTGAACACACCCACGGAGTGTGAGGTATCACAGGCATTTCCACCGGCGGAAAGAACACTTCAGGCTACCTCTAACCTGGGCCTATAAGGGTCATCCGTGAATATGAAGTGTGACACCTAAGAGGGCCCAGGATGTGGGGTCAGACCACCCTACATGGGTATACCCACGACGTGGATGCATCCACCAGGATTGATGTGGACGCATCCAGGGTGTCACGTCACTTCACTGGTGGATGCGTCCACGCGGCGAGCTCGTTTTTTGCGATTTTGGGGCCTGCGCGGGGCCGTTTTGCTGGCCCCTGCCAGGTAGGGGCACCCTCAGCTGCTACAGACACGTGAAGCAGCAGCTCTGCTGCATAGCAGTCGCCTATAGCTAGACCTATACTATCCAGCTTGTTTTTGCGATTTTGGGGCCCGTGCGGGGCCGTTTTGCTGGCCCCTGCCAGGTAGGGGCACCCTCAGCCGCTACAGACACGTGAAGCAGCCCTGCTGCTTAGCGGTTGTGCCCTATACCCATCTATGCACCTTACTATCCAGATCCCTTTTGCGATTTTGGGCCCTGTGCAGGGCCGTTTCGCTGGCCGCTCCCAGGTAGGGGCACCCTCAGCCGCTACAGACACGTCAAGCAGCAGCCCTGCTGCTTAGCGGTTGCGCCCTATACCCATCTATGCACCTTACTATCCAGATCGCTTTTGTTAAAACAGCAGCAGCTCTGCAGCTTTGCTTATATAGACACCACGGGCCGTAGTCACCATTAGAGTGTGCTACATAACATTTTGCGTGGATAATTCTGATAGTAGTTTACATCTAGCTTGTTTGAGCAAATTTGCACAAACAAAAAGAATGTGTGTGCTAGTCTGCCTGGACGCTGTGTGCGGTAGAGCCTGGCTGCCGATCGGAACTCAGCTTGCGAGACTGTGCGTGGTAGTCTGGCAGCAAGTGGTAAGTAGTTTACATCTAGCTTGTTCCTTCGCGAGCAAATTTGCACAAAAAGAATGTGGGTGCTAGTCTGCCTGGACACTGCGTGCGGTAGAGCCTGGCTGCCGATCGGAACTCAGCTTGCGAGACTGTGCGTGGTAGTCTGGCACCAAGCGGTACTCATTTTGCTCAGAATTCTGTGCTGAAAACTGTTCGTGGTTGTATCCACGGACAGTACATGGATGTTCCCACATGCCATGCCATGGATGCATCCATCCATCTGTGGGTCTACCCACTTGGTTCTGATGGATGCATCCATGACGGTTGTGGTTGAAACCACTAGCTGAAGTGGGTGTACCCACCTGCAGACATGGATACACCCACATCGTTCACCGTGGATGCGTCCACATGCCCACTGGTCATAACCATATTCTATGTGGTTGGATCCATATTCTATAGTGGTTCTACCCACGGGATGTGGATATCCCCACACGTATAGGTGGGCATGCCCATTGTACCAGTGGGGATATCCACTGGTTTGTTTGGTTCCCGTATGGGTATCCCCACGCAAGATGGGTCTTCCCGTGGGTATATCCACGCCTGATGGGTACAACCATCGCTTTGTTTGGTTCCCTACTGGGTACTACCAGATTGAATGTGGATGTACCCACCAATATATATGGTTGCAACCACCCGCACATAAAAAGATATGTTTTTTTCCCGTATTTGTCTTTGAGACCCTCATTTAAATCACAGTCTCAAAACTTCCTTAACGGGATGCTGGTGGTTGTTTGTTTAACACATTCGATTGTAACAGTGAACATAAATTTCTGTTGAGTTTTTGCTTGCATCCAATAAGAGATGAACTGTTGTTTTATGTCTAGCCCTCAACTTAGGCCCCTATGTTTCGAATAAAACTGTTAATCAGACATACCGAATTTATGCTGGCAATGCCGAGATGCCGAATCACCAAGTATGGACAAGCAAACGCTACGAGCCCAAAAGGGAAATAACTCCAAGTAATATGACATTTTTCCTACTTTGCAATAACTGGAAGGCTATCCTCATAGATTATGTGGCCCTCTCATCCCTGACTACCATATGCAAAGTATCCTCCTAGTTGAAAGAAATTTCATACCCATGCGCCCGACTTTGCCAGGCCAATCGCAGGATGCCGAGATGCCGAGACATGCCAAATAAACAACCCATATCGTCCCAGAAAGGCAATTCGGTCATTCTACCAAAAGAAAAAAGGCACAAGTAAGATAAGAACGATAGCTAAAGCTTGTCGTCGGTGTTGGGCAGCCAACTCCAATACATCTCGCACAGGCCCTCCATG